AAAAAAAAAAAAAAAACAAAACAGATGAATACACTAAGTGCGGACAGGCAAGGAAGGGTATTTTTGGAATTAACATAAAGAGAAAAAGTCATGTGAATATATTAGTTGTATTTTGTTGTCTCAAAACCGCTTGAGATAATGTTAGGTAAACTTTATCAATCAATTAAAACCTATTATCTCTACTACTGACTAATAAAATTGTCACTATTTGTTAAAAATCTACGAATACGAATCTTAACAGATATTAATGCATGTAATAGATTTTAAGTCGAAAAAATTTATATTAAAGAGATGTGAGCATATAATAACAGACTATCTCGTTTGTAAGCGAGCCAGCCATGGTGTATAGTACTGAAATAATTACAAGGGTAAATAATTTACAACTATCTTTATTCTTGTCGTCCATATCTGGAACAGCCTAAATTTACTGGTAATAGATACTGTCTACTTTGACTCATTACATAGGCTCACGAGAGGTTTTCACACTTTTATACTTTTATAAATGCTTCATTCCCTTCTCAAACTAACGTGGGATCTCATCAACCTTCTTGGAGGTCCAGTGTCCTCACTAACACACGCTCTAGTATCTAGCTCTTATACTATTTGTAATAAAAAAAAATACATATTTTTTTGTCACTAAATTTTAACAATACATCTCATTTGATGGTAATTTCAACATTCTCACTCTTTCTAGCATACAACACAATCACAATGGCTAACCTCCACTTCAACTAGATATCAATCAACGACAACATTGCTGAAGAGCTTGAACTTTTGGGCATCAAGAACGAGTTTTCTTATAGAAGAGAAAGCACCCATGATCCCGACTCCGGTGAAGATGATGATGATGGTGAGATTGGTGCAATAGGTGATGGATGATTTGGGTGGCTTGTGGGTGATGTTGTACAGAAGCATTGGTAGAACAAAATCAAGAGGAATGAAGCCAATAGCACCAACTACAGCACTAATGTCTCCAAAGAATGGAAGCATTGCAGCAGAAACTCCACACATAATCATGTACATTGTACGAAGTATGATCCTTGGAATAAGGTTCCTTTTGGAAAACAACCCTTTCTTTACATCAGCTGATTGCTTCTCCATTATCTCGTATGCCACTTGTGAATAAACCTATAATTTAAGCTTCAATTTAAATTCAATGTTAAGTTCAAAAGTATTGTATTTTAGTGATTGAAGTTAGCAGACCAGGGCAATGGCTAGGAGTTGAAGAAGAACAAAAATAACAGCGAGGCCCAAGATCCAAGTGGGCGCAAGAGAAGGCCCAGTGTCGGGCATCAAGCTCTGCAAGATATTGGGGGTAGCCCTGTTCCCAAACACCCAATATCCAGACACAGCAATGGCGTAGAAGGTTAGAAATATGACGGTGTAACACATGGAAAGCCCTTTCACCATCTTGCCACTAGCCGGAGCTGCCAGAGTTGCCTGTTATGAGCTATGAATTACCTTAAATTATTCAAACTGAGTGTCACATAATCAGAAGCTGTAATGTAAAGTGTTTGAATTACTTGGATTTCAGGGAGGATTCCGTTCCCAAAAATGGCTGCTAAAATGGAGATGGATGTGAAGGCGCTGAACATCCTTGATTTTGGTGACGACTCTAAGCTGTAGTCCCTTGATCCAGCTTCTTTTCTGGTTGCTTCAATTATTGATAGATGAAACATAAGATGAGTTGATCATATTATGAAAGGAATTGCTATGCGTTTAGTACCTGCAATGATACAAGCAGTAACCACAAGAAAGGCGTAGCCCAAGCTGAGAAGCAGAGAAGCCAGATTGACATGTCTAAGAGAGTGGAAGGTTGGAAGCTGAGACAGAATTATCATTGCCCCTGTTACTATTGCTATGAACTCGTACAGTTTCATCGATCCATTTGGATAAAAGTTTGAATATAGTATCTGTATGTCACCCAAAACCACATTCAATTCTCTCCCTTTTAAGAGTTCATGACATTATAAGAATGTAATTGATACAAGAGTAAGTACTTATGACCATAAGATGAGGCTAATAACAAATGATGTTATGAAATCAAATTGTGAGATTCCATATGGGTTGGGGAGGAGAACGAAACATTCATTATAAGGGCGTGGAAACTTCTCCGTGGCAAACATGTTTTAAAACCTTCAAGAGGAAGCCCGAAAGAGAAAATTCAAAGAGGATGATATTTGCTAATGGTGAGCTTTGAACTATCACAAATGGTATCAGAGCCAGATACTAAGTGATGTGCTAGCTGAGACTCAAAAGGGGTGGACACGAGGCGGTGCACCAACAAAGATGTTGGGCCCCAAGAGGGGTGGATTAGGGGGTTCCACATCGATTGGACAAGGGAACGAGTGGAGGTGGATTGTGAGGTCTCATGTCTGCAAAGGAAAGGTTTCCACACCCTTGTAAATAAGGTTTTCGAAAGGAAAGTCCAAAAGAAGTCTAAAAAGACGGTGATCCACGTCATAAATGCTCAACTCAAGGGAACAAGGAAGCAATGTTCTCATTGGGTCACAAATTCAGACAAATTATCAATCAAAGCAATTTGACTTTTCCTATCTATTTGTCCTGTTTTAGTCTTGTTTTTGTCAGGATCAAATCAGTGGGTGAAGCTTGTAAGAATGGGTTTCATTTTGAAAAGATAAAGACAGCACAACACACGTATATACATATCTATGGGTGAGAATAAGACACACCTCAATGCACTGTCCAGCCAGCAAGATTGCTCCAATTCCCACTCCAGTATTGATAGCCGTTTGAATAAATATTACAAAGTAAAACATCCATCCAGATCCTGTTCAAAATTATTACAAATATAAGTTTAAATATATATATATAAGAATGCTACCAACCCACCCAAACTATATTTTTCTATTTTTAAAAAAGATATATAACTATAAATAGGAACTTATTTTAAAAATCAAATTTAACTAAAATGTTATTAAATGTGAGATCTTTAAAAAATCAGATTTATGGGGCTATATATATTCCACGTACAATAATTCCTCTTTCCACCACTCATGTTACTATCTTCAAATATCATTCAAGCCATTAAATTCTCATAAATATATATACAGTATAATATATAATATATATATATATATATATATATATATATATTAGTTCTATGGTTCATTATGCAAGTTTGAATTATATTATCTTTTTATCACGAGATTAGATATACAAATTTTAATTTTAATTTTGCTAAACTAAGATAAATTTATATTTTATTTTATTGTTAGTAAGCACATTAGTTTGGTCTTAATTGTTGTTGTATTTTACATAAATATAAAAAAGAAATACCCAATTAAGGAAATATTAAAACTAGAATTTATTAAATAAGTTTAAAATGAAATATTAAGCAAAAAATATTTTTATAAAAATAGAATATTTTAATTCTTTTTTAGTTCACGTGTGAGTGATTATTGACTTTTTTTTAAATGAAGTCATACTATACGTTTTCTGAGTTGGCGAATATTTTAAAGTTTCTTTTTAAGAAAAAAAATTAAATAAATCTTTATTTTTTACTTCTAAAACTACATTATATATATATATATATATTAAAATTTTTAAAACAGAGAATTACAGAGAAGAAAATAGAACACGCATGCGCTGTGGTAATGATGATAGGGTTCTTAAATTAGCTAAAGAGGAATAAAGCAGTTAATTAAAAAGATACCTAATACGTCGGCGGCGAGTTCCCGGAATCGGATGTGACGGCGACCGGCCTTCTCGCAGTGATCCAGAACCTTAGACATGAGTAAATACGAATAGAAAGTCACAACCGTCATAATCGTCAAGCAGAAAATCCCTAATCCCCAACCTAGTCCACTGAACGCGTACGGCAGCGTTAGAATCGTCGGTCCGACAATCGCCGTCGTCAAATGGAATCCGGCATGCCACCATTCTCCTGTTTAATCGTCGAGCGACGGAGTAAGAAGTCATTTACTTATGAATCTCCATTTTCTATTTGAGAATGAAAAATTGAAAACAGAGACGACCGCGAAATCTTGTTCTTGGAGTTACCTTTCGATTGGAGGACGAATGCTGCTCCAGCGTCGTTTTGGCGATCGTCGTAGGAAAATAGGTCATCGGTGATCGGAGGTTGATTCACCATCGTAGTTGTCGAGTTTGGCGGGCGATGGAATCCAGGGTCGGTGGAGAAGGCAAGGCGAAAGTGAAATGGAAACTGCCGGCATGGCTTGCAAATGATATTTATAGAAGTCAAGCATAGTCATAATAATAAATACATGCCTTTTTAAGTTCCTTTTTTTTTTTCAATTTATTTTGCCATTTATCTAAAATATATATATATATATATATATATATATATATATATATATTTATGGTTTCTATTTTTTTTAGGGTTTCTATATATAAATACAATAGTCACACACGTTTTTTGTGTTCTTTTATTTTTAAAAAAATATCGGGTATTATAAGTTTAGTCTAGTTTTGTCTAGTTCGATATGGTTCAAATCCATTCGATTTAGTTTTGGTCTAGTTCTAGTTTAAAAACTTACTTCACATTTAAAAATACATGAATAAAAAATTAAAAAAAGAATATCGATAGTATATGCTTAATTAAAAATCAAATAATTATCTTTAGTCTCGTTCAATAACTCCATTATTATCATCCTCCATAAAATTAAAAAAAAAAATCAATTGAATTCAAAAAGTTAATTATTATTATTGTTTTTTTTTTTGGGTGAAAAGATGAAAGTTGTAGGTAAAGGTCAAGAAAACACCACAAATCATCACAATCATTCAAATGTCATAAAAGAAATTTGATTCACACAAGTGGTTGTAGCCATCAATGGAGTTTTATATTAAAAATAAAATAAAATGCTTAAAATCATGTGAAAAAGAATGATAATTTTAGTCAATGATGACGACCTTCTTCAGTCATCACATGTTTGAATATTTTGGTATTGTACCCATCATAAAAAGACCCAAAATCAGTCAGAACTTTCTCATTCAGATTACGATGGAACAAATACTAATTTCATAAAGAAAAACCTAGCACTGAATTATGCCAACAATCTAACAGCTAGAGAAGAAATCAATTGGATGAACAAACAAGATTAGCTGCTGCTAATCAAAATCAGTCATTTGTTAGTGACTGTTCAAATAACACTTGAACAGAGAAAAAACACTTAACTAATTAATTCTTTTTCTCAGGCTTTCTCCTCCTCCTCACCCTTTGTTGTTTCAGCAACAGTTTTGTTGTATTCCTCCACTTCCTTTTTGTAAGCTTCCATGGCTTCTGCAGCTTTGTCATTCCATATTTTTCTCTCCCCTTCACTTAGTTCCTATTCTCCTCAAAGTAATGAACAAAAACAGACCATTTATCAGCACCAACCATAATGTTCTTACAGTACTAACAGAAAGAAGATGGCAGCAAGTTCAAACCTTCCATTTCACTGAAATCAGGGCATTGACTGTGGAGTTGTTCACTCCAGGCTTCTCCTCCATTACAACTTTCCTTGCTTCTTTGCTGCAATTGACACAAGAAACAAGTTCAGTAACAAGGTTCTCCAAATGCAATTCTCCTGTTTGAAGGGTGTTTTGATTTTGTTTTACCTGAACAAGATGTAAGAGGATGCAGGCTTCTTAGGCTTGTTAGGATCAACGTTTTTCTTCCCTTCCTTCTTCTTCTTCTGGCGTTCCTCCTTTGTTTTCTGTAATAGATCATACAGACGTCTCAAATCAATGGATAGTCGAAATATTATAGTGCGGTCAAGATATGACACACAATTAGTCTTTTACCTTTATAATTGTCTCAGTTTTCTCTTTCTTCTTTAGCAGTAGCAAAGCTTCATGTTTCTGAAGCTTCATTTGCTCTTCCTCTTCCTTCTTGAGGTTTGCTGCTTCTTCCTCCTTTTTCTGCTTGTAAGTTTCCATCTCCTGCATGTATTTCTCCTTTTTCTTCTTCGCCATCTGCATGAATTCAAGAGATAATATTGGTTTTGAATGAATTATTTATAAAAAATCTGTTTTAGGTCTTGAATTTCGATGCATGCTGACCTCTTCATAGGGACCTCTTTGCTCCTCTGTCATGTTCTTCCACTCCCCTCCTGTTATCTTAGCTACCTGAATGGAGAAGGCAGTGGACATGAAAATTGGACTGCTAAAGCAAATAGAAGCCCCAACACAAACACATTGAAACCAAAATTTGAGAATCGAAAGCAAATCTAACCTCTAGGACATTCTTGTTCTCAGCAAAAAGGGATCCACGCCTCTCATTTGAGAAGAGGAAAAACGCCGACATCGGTTGCTTGGGCTTCAGTGGATCTCTCTCTTTCCTAAGAGACATTTTATCAAACATTAGCAAAGCACTTCCACAGAAAGAATAGAGATAAAATCGTACTACTTACTTCTTCTTCTTGTTATCCTTCTCTGCTTCCTCTTTGAATTGGAGGTATTGATCAAGCAACTCCATGGCTGTCTTCTGCTTCTGCTCCTCTTCTAACAGCTTCATCGCCTCAGTCTCACGCTTCTCTTTAGAAGTGATTTGTAAATAGGCTTCTTTCTCTGCCTGATACCTTTCCTCATATGGCTTCTTCTCCTCTGCAGTAACACTCTTCCATTTTGCCCCCAAAATGTTAGAGATTTCTTTGAACTCCGCCTCTGGATTCTCCTTCTTGATCTGCGTCGGAGAACACAAGCCAGAAATGTAAATTTCAAAAGTAATTTCGACAGTGATAATAATCAGGAATTATGAGAAGTATAACATACCTCATTCCACTGATCTTTGCACCACAATATGTAAGGTGGAGAGGGCCGCTTCTTTTCTGAGCACTTCTTCTTCTCTTTCTTCTCTTGCTCCTTGTCTTTCAAAATTTGAATCATAGGGAAGTTCTAATCAAGAATGAAAAATATTCAACAATCAGAAATCAAAACCAAACCAGATCTGACGATTTCTTTCCGAAATACTAATTAATTCCAGCTATATCGAACATAAAATTAACAATTTCTTGTTCATTTCTAGGTATACGAATAATCAGAAAGAAAAACACAAAATTAAGAAACAAACCATATTAGGTTTGAATTCCTTCAATTTCTGCAGCTTCTTCAATTCGATCTGGAGCTTCTCCTGTTCTTTATCCCTCGTTTTAAGCTCTTCATCCTTCTGCTTAAGCATCTCATCCTTTTCTTTCAAAAGCTCCTCAGTCTTCTCCTTATCGAGCCTCAATTGTTGTAGCATGTCCTGCATTTCCTGCAAATCTTTATCGAAGGACTGCTTCGCCGGCTGCTTCTTCTGCGCAGCTTTCGGCTTCGGTTGATTCTGAGAGAGGTTCTCCTCTTCCGACGGCTGCGTTACCTTCGTGACCATAGATTGAGATTCCTCCGGTGACGAGTTTTTGTCCTTGAGAGCCTTCCGGCTGTTTCTAGGTTTCTTCGTCCGTCCGACGGGCTCGCCGGTGACCAGAACTTCAGCAGTGGCGGAACTGGCCATTGAAGATAGAAGAGAGAGACAGATAGGGTTTGAAGGCGAAATTTGAAAATCTTGCAGAGACGAGGGTGGGGTTTTTATATAGGGGGAAAAAAGCCCAACGGTCGGATTTGTCTATTTTTCAAAATTCAAATGAATTACTGACATTGAGGACTTGTTTTGAAATCCGGCGTCTCAAATTCGCTCGATCGTTGGTGAAGTGTTTTTTTTTTAAGAAAAAAAAATTATATATTGAATTTTATTTAGGAAATGAACGCACATGGAAATAAATTTTAAAAATTAGATTTAAATACATTTAAGTCATTTTTAAGTATTTTTTAGACAAAAATCAATTTATATCTCTTAATTTTAAAATTATATCAATTTAAATCATAAATTTTTATAAATATATTAATTTAACCTCCATTTTATCCCGTTTGTTCAAATTTAACTCCAATAAATTAATTTCCGACATTTAATTTAATAATTGTCACAAAACAAACTTTTTATTAACAATTAACAATATGTGTCTAAGGTTAAAAAATGAATTTTTTTTAAGAATTAAGAATCAAAGAACTAAAAAAATAAATAAATTAAAAACTCTATTTGAATCATTCTTATTATATATCTAAAAACATATCCATGTAAATTTGAGTAATCGTATTAATAAAGACAAACCTAGCCTTTTATTTTAACAAAATAAATAGAACAAGACGACAGAGAAAGAATAGAGAAAGAAGGTTCGGGAGTTTACTGTGAAAGAAGAAATAGGGACAATAGCTTTCCGAGAGGAAATGAATGAAATCCTTCACCTATTTATTCTTAAGGAAGTCAAGAAAGACGAAAGCAAGATAAGATGAGAAGAAGAAGAAAGAACGAGAAAAAGAAAGAAGAGCCTATTCAATCAGGGAAGGTTCTAGAGAGAAGCTGGTAGTTTACGAGCGGAATGAATTTCTTTTTTATGCAAAAAAAAGATTTCAGTTGCTACAATGATATGACCAATATAACATATCTTGACTGGTTGGCTTTTTAGATCCAGATAATGCGAGGGGCGAAGCAACCCGACAGTATAGGAGAGGAATTAGAATCATTCCGTTTATTAGGTGAACAATAGGTTCCAGGCCGGATGGATCCATCTCTTTCCTCTTCCTGCTGTCCCCACGAGGCTCATTCACCTTCCCTTTCTCTTTAATTCTTGTGAGTTATTCAACAAAAACTATTCTTTCAGTCAGGATTCATTCCTGTTTATGAACTGAACTATCCTGATACTTCACGAACCTCTATTCCCCTATTTCTTCCGGGGACGAGACGAGGTGAGATACTACGATCACGTACATACTGCCCTTCGGCATTATAAGAACCCAGAACATGCACGGAAGGTTGTTGCAACCGTTCTTGTATTCACTAATTATGAGGTCGCACATCGATTGAAGAAGAAGAGAATGAAACATTCTTTATAAGTATATGGAAACTTCTCTCTAGTAGACACGTTTTAAAATCGTAAGACTGACAGTGATACATAAGATGTCAAAACAGACAATATCTACTAACGATGAGCTTCAACTATACACTAACAAAATGTATGAACGCCTACACTTTATGTGTCACACTTGAGTGTTCTTGGTACTTTCATCCCAAACCCACGCTTCACCTTCGAAATGCTGTGTTTTCAAAAACTGTTGAAGGTCAAATGGTTTATACTTTGGAATGATAAGAAGCTGAGAAAAAACGTTATGAAAGCAATGAACTTACGTTGGGGCGAGTTTTCCCAGATTGTGCAACACTTTCCCAGTATCTTCATCCACAACTCTTCCCGAGATGTCGATTCTATAAAGCTTGCTTGGAGTAGTGGGCAACCCTCTGCTAGAAAGCAGCTCCAAATCCCTTTTGTGAAGCTCTCTGCCATTCACAAAGATTTCAGTGTTTCCAGCAGCACAGTTCCTTGACAATGGATAGGTGAACTCGTCGATGAACGGCTGAATGATGAGCATAGAAGAAGGGAGTTGGTTAACATACTTGATATTCATAACTTAGAGCTATTAAACCATTGGATTGGCACTCACAGGAATGATGCCAAGACATGGATGCCCCATTACGCCCCAGAATCCAGCTTGATAATCATACCTGGTAGCCACAATTAAAGGGGGGAAACCACGATGTTAAGCCAGGTAAAATCATTGAAACAAGACGAAGGAATGAATCCGAGAGTTCTTTATAAGGGTGTGGAAACCTCTCCCTATTAGACGTGTTTTAAAAACCTTGAGAGAGCCCAAAAGAGAATGCCTAAAGAGGACAATATTTGCTATGGCTTAGGCTGTTACTAATGGTATCAGAGCCAAACACCGGGTGGTGTGCCAGCGTCCTCGCTGAGCCTTGAAAGGGGTGGATTGTGAGTGTGGAAATCTCTCCCCAGTAGGCGTGTTTTAAAAATTTTGAGTGAAAGTTCGAAAGGGAAAGTCTAAAGAGGATAATATCAGCTAGCGGTGAACTAGAAACTTACCAATAATCTCCGGGAAGAATGGGTCCAGCTTGCTTTTCAGCCTTTTTGACTACATGAGCTGGTAAAGGCTGCCCATTAACTGAAACAACAGGCTTTCCATTATCCGGAATTTCACTTGATCTTGAGAAATCTCTCAAGTTGTACCTGCTGAGACCCACAAAAAAGGTGTCTGATTCTTGACTGTTTTTGATCTTGCTTTGATCTTCCACTTCTTCTTTGCTTGTTTCCACAAAATCTTGAGAAACATGAATGTTCGAATAATCCTCAAACGATACGTCCAACTCGATCGGCTCGGCGTTGCCGTCTATCACAGTATTCTGCTTATTTTCATCACCTCCCTCTCTGTAATTGCTAGCTTTCTGATAAGAAGTGCTATCAGAATTCTCCTTGGAAACATCTTTTGAAGGCAGGTCAGCTGAGTCGTTGAGAAGGCTTGGTTCACATTTTATAGCTGGGGTGGTCTTCAATGAAGTTTGCTCCTGCTTGTTGTGGTCAGTACTGATGAACTTGTGACCAGAATCATCAGAGCTTTCTAAGGAGTTGGTGGCATTGACAGCTCGTTTGGGGGAACCATCATCAAGAGAAACTTCTTTGAGCTTGGATTCCGATGGAACGCTAACAACAAGCCTTCCGTTCTCGACTCGTACAACGATGACAACCGAACAAGCACCACATTGTAGTTTCTGCCAATCCATTTGCAACTTATAAAGCTTTCTTGGCAGTTTAAGCAATTCCAAGCAACTAACACATACAATGAAAGGGGCACCACCTGCAATGGCATCACAAGAATTTCCATTTCTTTGCAAAAGTGGAGCCTTTCTTGGTTGAACCAGACCGTAACCATCAGTCCCTGAACTAAACTCACTAGACTGTCTCGAGTGTGGAAAACGACCAGCACGTCGCAGATCAGACGCCTCGAGCCCAATTGGAATAGCATTCTCATTGTAATAAGCACTCATTTTGATTGGCTCTTTTGGATGTAAGAACTCCTCACTATTTCTCTGGTAATGAGAGCCATGGCTCAGCTGTTGGCTCTTTGTTGAAGGCTGCATTGGAACATTGTAAGTAGGCCGACCGTAGTACTGATTGGCTGGAGCTCTCACATCACAAGACATAATAATTTGGTCTTTCAACTCATCCAACCTTCTAAGCAGCTCAGCTGGATTTGGGTTCAAACCTTCAAAGTTAGAACTTGAAGGTCTGTCAGCAACAGCCATAGAGTTCCTAGAGTACCTTGTATATGCATCTCTTTCAACTTTTCGATGCTCGAAACTCGCCCGGCTTCTTGCTGCTCCTATACGAGTACGATACGGTGCTGTACTTGGATAATCCAAATCATAAACGTTCACATCTTGTTCAAGATTACATCGACCAACCCAATTCTTGATATATTGATCTCCAAACCTCTGGATTGGCCAAACTCCATTAGTTTCCTTCCCAACTTTCATCTCATAATCATTTATATCCTCTCTATCATTTGTTCTAATTGGGCTGTTGCTGAAAACAGTCCTTTTAGAGCTCGGACTGCCCCACTCAGTGTCAGAAGCAGCACCTAAACTACTGCCTTGTTCTGATAAGGACTCATAATTTTCACTGCTCATACAATCATTTTTCTCATTTAGGGGAACTTTGCTCTTTGCTGCACCATCAAAGTTGTGATAAAATTTTAAACTCACCCAAGTGTTCACAAAGTCGACTTAAAAACCTTTTTAAGCACTTAAATATCTAGGCATAAGAGAGTCCCATGGTCTACTACATCATCCAAAAACAGAGCATTTTTCCAACACAAATGTAACCACAACAGAGCACAAGCATAACTTATAATTTGACAAATAACATAACTAGTGGAGCTAAAAATTCCTCAGCAGCCAAAACAAGAGAGATTAAAAAGGAACAAAGCAAGTATTCATACCTCTAAGAACAGCCCCACAGCCACCACACTGATAAACAGGGGGCTCCGAGGGCTCAGGCAAGAGATTCTCGCATTTGGGACAACGAACTACTCGAACTTTCTGGTCACCAGACATAATTCAGAACCCAAGAGAAGATCAAACTTAGAAATTCTTCAAACCCATTAAAGAGAAGAAACAATCAAACAATCCCAAATCCGGAAATCAATGAATAAAAAGAAAAAAAACTCTTCAGCCCATTAACAAACTCGAGAACAATTTCCAAAATCACAAACCCACAATAAATTTCAACACAAAGAACTTAGAAGTTCATACAAATACAAATACAAATACAAATGCAAATTCCCAGTAGCTTAAAAGAGGAACAGAATGGACTTTTCATAAGAGAGAGAGCAATTCAACTCAACTGATCATTTGGAAATTGTCCATATGAGCAGATGGCCAAATTAAGGCTTGAAGATACCAACGCGGTTATCTCAAATCTCTCAACATGAACTGTGAAAGCAACGGAGGAAGATAAAACGCCATCGTTTTCACGAAACGACGCTGTTTAAGATGTAGTTGGACCGCGTTCTGTAATAAAGGCGGATGGGCCAAGTCAGACGGAGAGCAGTAGAAACAATCAAATAGTAAATAACATTGACCAATCAGATTACAGTATGAG